AAAAATTCACACACGGAAAATGCAAAATACAGAAAATGACTCTAGTGTGCAACGCTTACGACTAATCTATTTGTTGCCAAATATGGTGAGACCAACCAGATACATATTTTACCCATCCACTTACAAGAAATCGCTAGTTTTCATGCGGTCACAAATTCGGTGACCACGAAACATAATTAGAGCCTCGTTTCAGGGTCAACCAATAGTTTTTTTAGGTCGTGAAAATCACTCATAGACACCTTCCCTCTTAGAAAACAACGAAATAAACAAGCAAGGCCTCACTCATGAATGTGTCCGTGACATGGTTTCGCCATCTATTACTGAACAACTCAGCATTTTGTACGAAATATTTCTTGATGGATGACAAATCGCTGACCATCACCAAGGGTATAGGTCCAATCCAGATGGTGAATACACCACCATACTCTGCTTTCCATGATTGGAAGAGATCATCTATAGAGGAATCTGAAGATGTCGAGATTGAGATTATGATTGTTAGGGCAAATGAAAACTTACAAAAAAGAAAAGCTGGCATATTACCAGCCAATAGCCATGGTGTCGGGCCAGGTGGGAGACGTCGTCTTTTGTAAGCTAACTCATAAGTGAGATAAAGCACAACGAAGGATACAAGTGAGTAGATCTGGAACCAGAGTTTGCCTATTACAGCAAAATATGATGATAATTATAGTTTGAGTATTGCTCTGCAGCTTTTCAATACTCCTGTTTTGAACACTCCACAAAGAAATCAATGGTTGAGATAGCATCCCATAAAAGCAAAATCAAGGAAATTATGTTCTGTGCAGTCAGGATATTTCCTCCAACTGCTTCATAGCCTGCCAAATTCAAGATGGTTGACTTTCGGGAAATATCAATTTGGGTTGACTTTGAAACAATACTCCACTTCGATTCCAGAAAATCGAAATTAAAATCAATCTATAAAGTACCCAATTTTATCGTTCGATTGGATCACAATTGAGCTTCCATAGAACTTATCATAAACTATGTACTTCAAGATAAAGCGATTGAAGTTGGAAGAATTTTGATGATTATGACATTTACCCCCATAAAGCTCGTGGGAAAACAATCTCCAATCTCCTTCTGCTTTTCGAAAGGAGCACTAACAGAAAGGGAAATACTCACATTTAGTAGTGACGGTAAAAATCGCACTATCCTTAGAAGTACGATGCCTGCACAGAAGCCAAAC